CCGGTGACAGATCGCGCCGCTGCACCGCTCTGCAGGAGCGCAATCTGCGCATGTGCAGGAGGACGCCATATGGCGTCCATACGGAACGCTGATGACATTTGCCGCCCGCCATTCGGCCATAGGGCGGGCGGCAAATGGTTAAACTTTAATTTTCAGCTTTCAGCGCTGTTGCACTTTGAATGACAATTGTGCGGTCATGCAACACTGTGCCTATATGAAATTTTTATCATTTTTTTAAAAATTTTTTTTCCCACAAATAGAGCTTTCTTTTGGTGGTATTTATGCACTACTGGGTGTTTTATTGTTTTGCACTATAAACGAAACATTTTGAAAAGAAAAAAAAAATGAACATTTAGTATATTCAATGGAAGTCTGTTTTGTTTTTTAATGTGGCAAAATTCATAATGAAATTCCTAGTTTTCCTGAATTTTAGAATCTGTTGCACGTATTTTGAAAAAAAAAGTTTTTCTTAGTTTCTTTTATAATATTTTGCAAACAGGTAATTTTTCTCCTTTACTGATGTGCGTTGATGAACCTGCACTGATAGGCAGCACTGATGGGCACTGATAGGCTACACTGATGAGGCAGCACTGATGAGATGCACTGGTGGGCATTGATGAGGAGGCACTGATGATGCTGCACTGATAGGCTGCAATGATGGGCACTGATAGGCGGCACTAAATGGCACTAATAGGTGACACTGACTGGCAACACTGACTGGTAGCACTGACTGATGGCACTGACTGGTGGCATTGATAGGATGCACTGACAGGCACAGATTGGCAGTACTACCTGGAATCACTGTTGGGAACTGATGGGCAGCACTGTTGGGCACTGATGGACAGCATTGCTGGGCACTGATAATCAGTGCCCTGATTACCAGTGCAGATATTTGCTTTGACAGTTGCCGGTTGTCACGCTGTTGCAGCAAGAGGAAAATACTGCCGATAACCAGAAAGTGTATTTATATAGTGGACAGCTGTGATTGGACACGTGGCTAAAGACTCTGTGATTGGCCTTTTACTATGTCATGTGATTAGCTGTGTCCAAAGGATCACAGACACTGTGTCCACAGCGATCACAGACAGCGCCAGGTGAGCTCTTCTGGGGGTGCAAATTTTGGGAGGACGTCCTCCCAGAACTGGACTACCACTCTGTAGCCTTCATTCGGCTATAGCGTGGTAATAAAGTGGTTAAAAAAGACAAAGAAGCAAGATCCAGTAAAAAAAAAAAAAAAAAAAAAAGCATTGAAAAAGGTAGTAAATTTTACTTAAAAAAAAAAAATCTCCCTGCAAGGTAATGTCATAATGTGCTAGTATGCACAGCACACTAGCATATTATGAAAGACGTACCTTGAAACAAAGCCCTCCGATAGTGTGCTGTCACCACTGACAGAGCTTCCATCTTCCCCTGGTCCTTCTTCCGGGTTCACAGGCTCTGGCCACTTGAATGGTAGAGCCACGATGAGACTCGGCCACGGCACAGAGCTCTGAAGGAACGCCACAGGTATGCTGGTCCTTCAGAGTGCATGCATTGGTGACATCATCAGCTGCAGAGACACTGAATATCTCCTAAATGGTGCATTTTATTCCTTGTACCTAAATGTAAGCTTTATTATAAGCATACCTGTAGGTACAAGTGTCCGATGGGAGTTTACTTCCACTTTTATGAACTTGTCCAGTATGCATTGCACAATTTCCTTTAGATCTACCAACAGCTATGCAGTTGAAAGCTCTGCCTGATTATATACAAATTAAAAGAATTGTCTAAGTATATTATAAAGCCAGATTCTGAGAGCTCATGCACACACAAGCATTTTATACAGATATGAACACAGCAGTATTGTATGCTATGGGCCCATTCACACAGCTCCATTATGGTCTGTAGTGCTTAAATGCCTATTCCAAAACATGAAACATTTGCATCTACTTTCTGATTTTGACTGAATTTTAAATTGTATGCATGTAAGCGTTTGTATACGTGTACAGTGTATATGGGCCAAATGTGCTGCTGCAGCTGCCTAATAAATTCCAGGGGGAGATGTAAATGTTAACAAAATATAGGCAGCAGCTACAGCACAGACACAGAATGACCTGAAAGCTGAGGTCAATATGTACCTATACTGCTGCTGATGATTACAGATTGTTAATGTTTACATCTCCCCCTGAATGAGTCACAAGTGGCAGCAGCGCAGCAAAATCCTGCGTAAATCCATTAAACTGACCATAGTATTCATAGGCTTGATATATGAAATATTTGAACATCAGTTACAATAGTGAAATCTAAATGCCAAACACCTGGATAATGCAGGGTTCAGTACACACGCAACAACCACATGCACATGTAGACAAGTGCAGTTACTTACTTTGCCACTAGGTGGCCCTGTACCAGAATAGTGTCTGGGTACAGCTGGTAGTGATACCAGGTGTTAGGCTTCTTATAGGTAGTGCTCTCCTACATTGATGTCATGGGTGAGTCAGTGCCCAGGTGTAAGCCATGTTGGGGCCCTAGGTGCACTTGGGGCATGTGAGCTGAACACCCCACACCTGTGAGAATGTAGCTAGAACACGTGGGCCCTGGACAGGCCAGGAGGCCTGGTGGAGTGGAGCTTTAAAAAGGAGGAACTGGCTGTAGTTATCCTGTCGCATATGGAGCTGAGGGCTATGGCGGATTGCAAAAAGCCTTTTAAGCCAGGCTGGATATCCCTGTGTACGGTTGCTTCCCTGGAGGGTTCCCGGGAGAGATGTGCCTAGCAAGGAGGTGACTACAGAGAGCACAGTCCCCTCAGTACTAATGACCCTGGGCAGAGGAGAAACTGAAAGGGAGATAGCTGCTAAATTGTCGCACATGCTTTCACTTGTGACTACTATGAACCATCCACTAAATGTGATTGATTGTGTAATGTCAAGTGACTCTGGAATGTACAGTATGTCCTTGTGATGTGACTGTAATGCAATTTCTTGATATCACCAGTAAAGTGCAACAAACCTATTTCTTGAGTGGACATTCCTTCCTTTACTCCTTTAAAGGTCTATGGCCGGGAATGCCATGTGGAGGCCTATGGCAAGCAGCAGGGTAGGAGATAGTGGAGGGTTTGGCCTCAGCACGAGGGAGAAATTTTGGCAGAAATTTATGACTAAATTTGATTTTTGCATTTTTTTTTACTGGACATGTTTTATAGCAAAAAGTCCAAAATATTGTTTTTTTTTTTTCCTCAAAATTGTCAGCCTTTTTTTTATAGCCCAACAAATAAAAACTGCACAGGCAATCAAATACCACCAAAAGAAAGCTCAATTTGTGGGGAAAAAAAGGATGTAAATTTCATTTATGTACCGTATTGCATTGTCCGTTAAACTAGCGCAGTACCGTATAGCAGAAAAATGGCGTAAATTGCAGTATTTATACCATAGTTTGTAGACACTATAACTTCCACACAAAGCAATCAATATACACTCATTGGGATTTTTTTTACCAAAAACATGGAGCAGAATACATTTTGGCCTAAATTTATAACCAACTTTGAGTTTACTATATATTTTTCATAGCTGAAAGTAAAAAATATTGTTTTTCTTCAAAATGTTTGGCTTTTTTTTGTTTATAGTGTGAAAAATAAAAAGCGCACAGGTGATCAAATACCACCGAAAGAAAGCTCTATTTGTGTGAAAAAAGGACGTAAATTTCGTTTGGGTGCAGCATTGCATGACCGCGCAATTATCAGTTGAATTAGTGCAGCGCCGAGTAGCAAAAAGAGGCCTGGTCATTAAGGGGGGTAAATCCTCTGGAGGTCAAGTGGTTAAATAAGTGGTGGTGGTGTACTTGGCTTATAATGAATGAAGAAAGCTAATGCCGAGGCAGCAAAATATTTATTACAGCCCCCCCCATGTATAAATATATACTCATAGCTAGTTCAAGCTCTTAAGTTTTCCTTGAGCAGTTCAGGATATGTGGTGGAAATAGAGTTAACATATCCTGGTGGGGGCTTGGCTGGAATAGTACTCCTGAGCAAGCTCTGGTCGTTTTCTCTGACGCAATGCAGTAAAAGCGGCTCTGAAGTTTCTGACAGTATTCATCTCAGCTGCTCTCCACACCCATGCTCTATGACTTACATTACGGCCAGAACATTTTCTTTAACCCGAGTCACGGAGAGGAACAACCAGTACACAGTATAGCTGCTTTTCAGCAGAGCAGTTCTCAGTAAAATACTCATTTGTGTCCTGTGTCTTGTTTGAATGAAGACAGGAAGATATTGACTTCATAAACAAATCGTATGATCGATATCTCTACCTATCTTGTAGGGGGATGATTATTCACAGCACATAGTAAATTATGCTGTCTCCAGGCAAAGTTCTACAACCGTCTTCTATGAATCAGATACTCATCTTCTGGTTACAAGCTCAGCCCTTAAAGGGAACCTTTCTTAACCACTTCAAGTCCTGACATTTTCCCCCCCTTCCTGTCCAGGCCGATTTTCAGCTTTCAGTGCTATCACACTTTGAATGACAATTGCGTGGTACCCATATGGATTTTTTAGCATTTTTTTGAGACAGATAAAACTTTATTTTGGTGGTATTTATTCACCGCTGGGATTTTTATTTTTTTTGCTATATAAATGAAAAAAGTCCAAACATTTTGAAAAAAAAAGTGTTTTTCTTATAAAATTTTGTAAATAAATAATCTTTATTCATAAATCTTGGCCAAAATGTATTCAGCTATCTTTTTAGTAAAACAAACAAATAACTCAAAATAGTTTATAACCAAAAAGTATAATTTTTCAAAAAAATTTTTACATTTTTATATTAATATTTATGGGGGAGGGGGGGGGTTTAACATACTACTGTCACCCTAGCAGTACAGTGTCACCATAGTGACACTGTACTACTTGAGGGGGGGTGATGAAGATTTTCTTTTTTTTACACTGATTGCTTTTCCAACCATAAAGGCTGTAAAAGCAATCATTTCTCCTCTCTGACTGTATTCTTGCAGCCATTGAGAAATACTGTGAGAGCTATGATTGGTTACAGCTTGTCACATGGTACAAGGCTGTGGGGAATAGCCTTGTACCATGTGACCTCTGTGATCATTTACAGATTTCACTAGTAGTAAGCAATAATGTCAGCAAGTAACATCTTGCTTACTACTATTCATGTGATCACTGATTGGCCAAAAAGTGATCACATGATCGGGACCTCACACATAGGTCCCGTACAGTGATCGGTGTTCTGCTGTGTCCTCTGGACACAGCGGGCACTGGATCGCGGTGCGCGCGCTCCCAGGGAGCGTGCACAGGCAGGGAATGCGGGAGGACGTTTATAAACGGTCACCAGCTCCTGCACTTTTCCTGTCCGGCCGTTTATGTACATGGCCCGGATGGGAAGTGGTTGAGAGAAGAACAAGGGCTGCCAATGCCATTGCTGACTTCTGATTCTACAGATCCTTGTTGCCTGGTTGTCTTTCTGACTCTTTGGCTTCAATACTATGAGTCTAGAAAACAAATCCTGAACAAATGTGCAGATAAGGACTTCTAAATGTACAGTATTTTGCCTAATGTGAATACTTTTTATTGGGTTAGTATTAGAGGCAGGGGGAAGGTTAGCAACAAAATGTCTAGCATATTCAGGAGTTCAGAAATGGCAGCCTCCATATTTATCTTAACAAAAGGGCTGAAATTGCCTCTAGGCTACATAGATGTTGGCCTAGAGTGCTGTTGCTATAACCCAATGGCACAAAACAAAGTTTTAGGTCTCTTAGATTGTACAGGTCTTTCCTTCATGTAGCGCCGGCTGGGCTAAACCCATAAATTCAGCTGGGCAGTGCTGACAAAAAAAAGCAGAAAGAATTTTTTGCCTCCCTTTACCTATCTTTTAATGGACAACTGCAGAGAGAAAGGATGCTGGATTGTGCCCTGACTGGCTTCTTCTGCAGCTGAAGAAGACCCACCTCCATCAATCCTGGACAGAAAGCCTTGTGACTGGTGGAGCAGCCATGTGTTAGGCTGTCTTCTGCAGTAAGCCCCGCAACAGTGAGAGTTCCCAGAGAATATAGTGTATACTTGTAAGAGTGTTGCTGCAAGGGAGTGCAATAGGGAAGTGATATGTGCCTGGCTAACTCAGAAAGGGGCTCAAGGACTGCTGCTGGAAGCTGGAAGCTGTGTTGCTGGGCTCCTGCCTTGAGGACTGCTCAGGGCTGCTTGAACTGTTGCTGCCATTCTTAACTAAGAAGAGCTGCTGAAAAATGTGGCTGCTATGTTGGGCTGAAGCTGGAGCCTTATTTCCTCCCACTGACCACTTGTGCTTGGGCTTATATTCCTCCTACCAACCTCTAACATGAGGGCATTGTTTCCTCCCCTGATGTCAGGACATGTTCTTCTCCCACTGACCACTGATGCCACAGCATCCTTTCTCCAACTAATGCTGGGACATTTTTTTCTCCCACTGACCCATGTCAAAGGGGCCTTTATCCTTCTACTTACCACTCACACATGGACATTCTTCCTCTCGCTGACCACTGTCTTATCTATTGGTTTAAATACACCCACCGGCCACTTTATTAGGTACACCTGTTCAATTGCTTGATAACACAAATTGCTAATCAGCCAATCACATGGCAGCAGCTTAATGCAGTTAGGCATTTAGACGTGGTTAAGACAACTTGTTGAAATTCAAACCGAGCATCAGAATGAGGAAGAAAGGGGATTTAAGTGACTTTGAACATAGCATGGTTGTTGGTACCAGACAGGCTGATGTGAGTATTGAAAAACTGCTGAACTACTGAGATTTTCATGCACAACCATCTTTAGGGTTTACAGAGAATGGTCTGAAAAAGAGAAAATATCCAGTGAGCTGCAGTTGTGTGGACGAAAATGCCTTGTTGATGTCAGAGGAGAATGGGAAGACTGATTCGAGATGATAGAAAGGCAACAGTAACTGAAATAACCACTCGTTACAACCTAGGTTTGCAGAATACCACCGTGTTGAATCTGTGCCACAAAGAATTAAGGCAGTTCTGAAAGCAAAAGGGGGTCCAACCTGGTACTAGCAAGATGTACCTAATAAAGTGGCTGGTGAGTGTATTTGAACTACTATCCTCAATCAACTCAATATACCTCACTGACTGAACCTGCATTACATATTATATCTTCCAAATCAGAATTTTAAAACGTTTCTTAAAAAGGGTCATACTTTAAAAAGGATATCACCTTCCCGTTTTCCCTTAATGCACTGTTCCAGATCTACTGTCTCAATATAATAGATTACTTATATACTAGCTATTCTTTGACCCCTTCATGCCTAAAGGTAAAACAAATTTTAATGCCTAAGGAAAATTTTACAATGTTGACATATGTTAGTAAAACCGTACATATTATTACAACTACTTTGTACATCCAGGTGAATTCTAACTTTTTTTTCAGGACAAATTGGCCTTTCATTTGGTGGTAAATGGTAATGGATATCTCCTGATTTATTTCTTATTATGAAAGAAAAACAAGCCCAAAATAGTAAAACAAAATATTTTTTTAAATTTAGCTGTGTGTTTCTTGTTACTATCATAACCTTCCACCAAAGAACAGCCCCAAATAAATTCTCCAGCTCTTGACGATCAGAGCGATACCACATATGTGTATGTTGTTTGTACCTGTAGTACAGTCCAAAACAATAGTGCGCATTTTGCTTTTTTTTTGTCCTTCCTAAAATAAACTGACACTAACTGATACCAATTAAGCAAAAAAAAAAATCCTGACCTTTGACCCTGACCATGCCCTTTGACCCTGACCCAAACACTAACCCTGGCACTGAACTAGATCAAACCTTGATCTAGGTATTTTTCTTTGTTTTTCATTTTATTTTTTATAGTTATATATTTACACATTTGTTTTTTTTCTCTCTGCAAGGAGAGAGGGAGAGATACCTTCAGAGAGGAAAAAAAAAACAAGGGGCGGGCTTCATAGTGACTGATCCTTGTGATAGCCAATCAGAGGCTTTCACAGTGATCATGTGACCTGGAATAGGGAGTTCCGGGTCCCGATCGTTAGAACAAGACCCGGGGCTCTCAGTGACACCCTGGTATTTGTGCTGGGAGTGCACCATGCAGCACGCTCCCAGCACAAAGACAGGTACACAAATATGCAGCCCCATGGAGAAAAGTCCAGTTCTGTGAGGCCGCATATTTGTGTGACATTGACAACAACGGATTAAGTGTCATTAAACACTGACTGTAAAACTCTCATTACATGCTATTTAACAGAATGTGCATACTTACTAAGCCACTAAAGCATTTGCTGTGTGTGGAGTGAAATATACCTGGTTGATCCTGCCTTCAGCTGTCCCTCCCATCTTCTCTGTGTTCCCACGGCAGACTGAGATTGTATGGACCAGCTGTTGTCATCTACTGAGTGTGCTCCGGTTTCAGTTCCCTTCTAAGCTCTTCATTTTTTCCTTTTCCTATCTATGCAGCCCACATAACTGTAGAACAGCCTTCCACAACCTTTTCAACACAGAAGAACACTTGAAATAACCTTCCAGTCTCAAGGAACCCCCTCTAAAATGACTACATCTACGACTTGTGATATATTAGTGTGTTGATTATTTGGAAGGATGCTCCTTATATTTGGGTTCATTGAGAATAATTACAGATAGCTAAAAAGATCATTGGTATCAGTGGGAACTCATCTTGGAAGCAGAAATTGTCATTGCTCAAGCAACCCCTAGCAACCTCTGGAGGAACCCTAGCGTTCCACTGAACCCTGGTTGAGAAATCCTACTATAGAGTCATACATGTGAGCTTTTACACAATGGTAAATTACACTCCCCTCCTCCTCCATGTCCTCCAATTACTAACACTATGGTGACAGGATATTATTGATTTATTTCAGGTACTTATATAGCACTGTCAATTTGCACAGTGCTTTTACATATACAGTATATTGTACATTCACATCAGTCCCTAACCCTCAAGGGGCATACAATCTAAGGTCCCTAACTCACATTCATACATACACATACTAAGGCCAATTTAGACAGGATCCAATTCACCTACCAGCATGTCTTTGGAGTGTGGGAGGAAACTGGAGTACCTGAAGGAAACCAACACAGGCACAGGGAGAACATGCAAACTCCAGGCAGGTGGTGCTGTGGCTGGGATTCAAACCAACAACCCTAGTACTGCCAGGCGGAAGTGCTAACCATTTAGCCACTGTGCTACCCAGGATATAGTCTTCTGATTAATAACATTCACTAAGAAACTCACAAAAAAGGCTAATTTAAATATAAATCAGTAAAACATATAGCAAATGTAATTGCTAATACCTGTAAAGTAAAAAGAACCTTGGATGCTATCTAAACAAAATAAATCTACTGTCAATCATCTTTGGCTCCGCCAAACACCATATTATCGCACACAAAAAAAGGCACATTTGATGTTCAATAAAGATTTATAGGGAGCAGTAAAACGTTTTGACATTTATAATTGAATTTCAATTCCTATTCTGAAACTGTGTTTTATAGACATGTGACTGGTACAGCACCAATCAGGGCTGTGCAGAGGCAGACTCATACTGCAGTAACAGAAGCTCCTCCCAAGGATCTTTCATTGCTGATGCCAAGGAACAAGGAAAGATCATGCGGCCACAAAATAGCGTTGCAGGAATAAGGTTCATAAAAGGATTTTTGAAAAAAAAAACAACAAAATACAATGGCATTATACATGATTTATGTGTACGAATTATGGCAATCAGCACTTCTCTGTTTATCACTTTAAAAAAGTGTATCTAAACCAAAGAGCATAAATACACTATATTGCCAAAAGTATCGGGACGCTTGCCTTTACACGCATGTGAACTGTAATGGAATCCCAGTCTTAGTCCGTAGGGTTCAATATTGCAGCTATAACAGCCTTTGCAGCTATAGTATAACAACTTCAGCTCTGCTGGGAAGGCTGTCCACAGGGTTTAGGAGTGTGTCTATGGGAATGTTTGACCATTCTTCCAGAAAGCGCATTTGTGAGGTCAGGCACTGATGTCGGATGAGAAGGCCTGGCTCAGGCTCCACTCTAATTCATACCAAAGGTATTCTATGGGTTGAGGTCAGGACTCTGTGCAGGCCAGTCATGGTCCTCCACCCCAAACTCACTCATCCATGTCTTTATGGACCTTGCTTTGCGCACTGGTGTGCAGTGATGTTGGAACAGGAAGGAGCCATCCCCAAACT